TTTCTTTTTCTACGTTTTTCTTCTTCTCCTTTTTTTTCTTTTTTTAAGTGGATTTCGTGATCCTCTTTCTTATACCAAAATAGTCTCAGAAGATCACGATTTTTATTGAAGGTTTCAAGATCTTTAAACGTGGAACGAAGAAACACGGTGGGTCAGTAGGATGGGGCTTATCTTTCACCCGTAAAGTTTTCCTTTTATTACCTCTGATTCCTATAATGCATGGCTCTCGTAACAGACGCGCGCATTCTTACTTTTTATTGCGATGCCTGGTCGGCAGCCTTTGATTTAATTAACTCTTAAAGCGCTGTTACCTTACCTATTACCAGCGCGATTTCTGAGCTAAAAGCTATGGATATATTAGTAAGGAGAAATCTTTCGAAACGGCAAACAAGTAGATCCGGATCCGGATTCACGTTTTAGTTGACGTCCCCCTTTTATTTATACTTTGAAACAAATATTGCATATACATACATACATATATATATATATATATATATATATATATATATATGTATATATATATATACGTAAGTATTAGGCGTGAATACATTAGCTTAAAGGATTTATCTAATAAAAAAAATATTTCATAATATATATAACCATTACGATTTATCTTCGATAAAAAATGATTCTTCAAAAAAATCGATCCTATTCGACCATATGAAACTGGACGTGCCCGTGAGCTTGACGGGAATTTCGTCGTGTGCTTTTTCTCTTCTTCTTCCGTTTTTTTTTTTTATGGAGCGTCCTTCGATTTCCATCAAAGGAGAGGCGCAGATAGAAAGACGATGGACAATGAAGGGAGGATGGTAAACGAGAGAGGATGAGGAGGGAAAAAGGAAAAAAAAAGGAAGAGTAGTATAAGAATGAAAGAGAAGGAGAAGAAGAAGAGGGAGAGGAAAGAAAGGGGGAGGAGAAGAAGGATAAGAGCGTGGCGGGGGCTTAGGTAACTCCGGAGGATCATGATTAATCAATTAGCGATCCCAAGACCTCTTCAAAAATCGATGTTGGCCCGGGCAAAAAAGGCCGGTCAGCAAAGGAGCCGCCAATGACGTTGCCGGAACGTACGCGTATACTGTCAACTGATTTTTGAAAAAATTTTCCCGCCGACCAAGTCAGCCCATCCTTTTACCCTTTCACTTTCTTTCCCTCATCTCTTTCTTCTCTTTCTTTCTTCCCTTTATTTCTTTAACAGTGATTTTTACCTACCGAAAAATTCTATTACACCGGCACAAAGGCAACGATTTCGCGGCGGCTCGAATCCGGGGATTCTTTTTGCGAGATTACCTTTTCGACGAGAGACAGAGACAGAGACAGAGAAAGAGAGAGAGAGAGAGAGAGAGAACACCTTAGTCCCCGTAAAACCCCGCCCAGCCCCCTTAACCCCCTTACCACCGTGACGAGCTTCCTTTCGAGCGGGATCAATCAGTCGATTGATTTTCATTGGTTCGCTCCTGCGAATTGATTGGCTCAAACGATTACTGCCAACGATCCCCCAATTATCAACGATTCAACTTACGACATCCTGCTTGAAGATCGCGTTTTAAGATGTTTGAGATTTATTTCAAAATAAGAAAGAATAGTAGAATTAGTATTATAGTATTTTTCTTTTCCCATAGAATAGGAAAAGAAAAATACTATAAAATCAAGTAAACTGAAAGTTGAATTACTTTCCTCTTTTCTTTTATATTATTTTTCTTTTCTTTTCTTTTTCTTTTCTTTTTTCTTTTCATTTTTTTTTTTATTAACTTGTTCATTCGACAAAATTCGATCGTATGAAATAGATCGCAGGTGTCAATATTCAAAAAATCAATGTGCACCATCAATCTATTGTAAACAATATGAATGATATTATCGTAAGACGTATATTTGAATGTTTGAAAGATTGAATGTGAATTTTCAATATTTTAGAAATATTGTTTAGAAAAATAATGTTTAGTAAAAAAGAGAGAAGTGTAACAAAATTAACATCGCATAACGCGGCATTGCGATTCTCCTTTCTATGTCTGAACGTAACATTTCGCAAATTGATCGACGTGTTTCTCTTTCTTTTTTATTTCTTTTTGTAATTTTAGAAAATCGAGAGAAATCGTTCGTCTATCTATATTGAAACAATTCGATGATCGTCTCTTATAAACATCTCTTACATTTTCTATCATGTCACTTTCGATGAACTATATTTCTTTTGTATATAAGAGTACGTAGGATATATATATATATATATATATATATGTATGTATGTATATATATATAAAATATAATGTATACATATATATATATATATAAATATATAAGTCGGCAAAGAAGAATGTAGAAGATAGTGTATGCGCGAAAGGTTGAGAGAGAGAGAGAAAGAAAGAGAGAGAGAGAGAGAAAGAGAAAGAGAAAGAGAGGGAGAGAGAGATAGACAGAGAATGAGAGAGAGAAAATCTCAATCATCTCTGGCCGGTTTCTTTTGTACTTGGCGCTTCTAAAGGCGAGCGCCGATTGGCCGAGGGGCGTTCAAAGAGAGCCGCCATGACTGGCAAAGCGGCCGTCTTTTGTTTGTGAAACAATGGTGAGCGCGCGGCTCACTTAGCGTGCCATCCAAATGACAAGCTCCTCCGATACTTAATCTATTAGGAAAATTAGCGGGCTCGAGAGCGCAGGCGCGGACGCGAACGCGAGCGCGTGAGTGCGCGCGCACACTCTCATTCTTGCGACGACGTAGCCGCCTTTCGAGATTTCTGTCTATCGAAAGAAAAAAAAAAAAAAAAAAAAACAGAAAAGAAAAGAAAAGAACAAAAAAGTCGGAGGAAAGGAGAAAGAAGAAAAAAAGATCGTGATCTTTAGATCTTTCGTAGATAATAACGAGCACGTAGTAATTAGGGAGTGAGGCCCAATCAACGAGTCAAAATTATCGTGGCTTCGTTAGGACTAATCTTTTCGGACGGAGAACTAGTAAAATAAGAAGAAAAAAAAAAAGAAAAAAGAAACAAAAATTTGTTTAATTTACTTCCGTGATCTTTCGACACCTAGCATTAAAGTTTTTATTTTAAGGGGATCGATTTACTTTCTCCCTCGTCATCGGTGGACCTGTGATTTTTCAAGAAAAGAAAAAAGAATAAGAAGAAAGTTTTGATGCTCGCGTAACTTTTGTAATTGCCGCGGAATCGTATTAGTGCTGCTATTTGATAGATAGCTATGATGATCGTAGATAAAAAAAAAAAAAAGAAAATAAGAATAACTTTGGCATTATTTCGTGGGGTTGTTTTAGCGCGAACGCGTGTTTTTCTATAATTTGTTTGTATAAAATATGTTTTTTGCATGTCTGCCTGTCGTTTTTCTATAAAGATTTAGCCATTTTCAAATGAACATACTCGTATTCGTAATATGCGTTACACATCTACTTACCTACCTTTCGAAATTCTTTTAATAGAGTCGTTCGGTTTGAGTAGCATGAATGGAGGTATTAGCAGAAAGACAGTGTATTTATTATATTATAGCGGGGAACACATCATGTCAGTCTGTCGGAGCAAAACTTTCGAGTTTGGAACGATGGGGCTCTGGGAAAAAGTTCTCCCGCGGTGGCCTAATTACGAGTTGGAAAGGTAATTATTCGATTATTCACACTCGCTTGGCCGAAAATAATAAAAAGCGCGCTATAGTGCCTAAAAGAAAGAAAGGAAAAAAAAAAAACATTAGAAAAATGAAAAAACAAAAAAACAAAAAAAGAGGACAAAAAAAACCGAGGATTTATGGGCCATTACGATTCGTTCTACCAAAGTAAACGAAAGGGACGCTTTCTAAATTGCAATGGAAGAAATTATGTTAGCTATACCATCTGCAATATTTTCATTATAGTCCTTGTTCTTCTCAATTTGTATTCTTTTTACCGACATGGTTTGGAAGTTAAATCTTTCGTTGGTAAAGTATTCTACATTGGGTATTGCAGAAATTTTCTTGATCAAACGACCGTCGGTAACTTCAGGATGATTGTCTTTACGTCGATATTTTATCGACACGAGGAACTATACAGAATTGTAATTCCACATTAATTCTCATTATGTCGCTTGTATCTCTCAAGAGACAGGACAAAATACTCACTCCGTGGATAATGCTTTTTTTTTTTTTTTTTTTTTATCGAAATATACTCTTTCAATCAACGATAGATAAAACAGTTGTCATGTTCGCGCAAATATTTTATATTTAAATTAAAACGATATGACGACGATAAAAATAATAGAATTTAAAAAATTAATGAATGATAAAAAATTAATATCGCTCGTATCTCAGGACAATTTGTAGATAACAAAAGAAATCGACTTAAATCGTTATATACGTTCGTTATCGTAGATGCTTTCAATGGAATTTACTTAGAAAAAAAAAAAAAAAAAAAAGAGAAGAAAAAAGATTTGATTTATTTGTTTTAATAATTAAAATTAAAGAGAAAAAAGAACGAAAAAGGTGCGCTGTAAGAAAGTGCCACGCGCTCGGCAAAAAGAACGATAGTCGGCTGTCAGCGAGATTCTAGCATCCGTCTCTTCTAATTTCGTTCGTCACTACCAGTGATGACAAAAAGATTCGAGTCGGCGGCGTGCTTTTTTTCGTCTCCTACTCTTCTTCTTCTTCTTCTTCTTCTTCTTTCTCTTCATCTTTTTATTTATCATCTTTTTTGCTTGGACCAGAAGCGCACGGTTAGTAGCAGCATCTGTCGTGAGCACGAAATCGTTCGCAAGATCTCATAAAATCAAATAGTTCTCGTGTTCGGTGCCCGATATAACTCTCGCAGTAACCACAGAGAACGATATAAAGGACGACAACAGTGACTGTAGAGAGAGAGAGAGAGAGAGAGAGAGAGAGAGAGAGAGAGAAAGAGAGAGAAAGAGAGAGAAAGAGATGGAATGACGGTTGGGGTCGAAGGGTAAGGGGAGAAAAGAGCTCGTTCAACGACCGTAGAATATCGAAAACGAAAGCGAAACGTTAAGGTAAACTGAAAAACAATCGGCCATAGGCGGCTG